CCCCCACCGCGGGTTCCCCCCCCCATCAGGCTGCCGCCGGGGTCTGACCCCTTGCTCTCTGCCGTGCTCCCCTTGCAGGACAGCATCCCGGTGGCCGCCTCCCTCCTGGGGGATCCCTCCGACACCGCCTCCGCCTGCCTGGCCCAGCGCTTGGGTAGGTGCGGGTCGGTGCGGGCTGCGCGCTCCCGCGTGGGGGGGGTGGGGTCTGGCTTCCGTGGGAGGCGGTGAAAACCCGCGGGTGGGGACCCGGCAGAGTCGTTTCTGGTGGCCTTGGAGCCCCCCCACCCGGTCTGGCTGGACGCGGGGGGGTGCGGTTTCTTGCCGGCCCCCGCAGACCCTCCCGGGCGCAGGTGGCGGCGCTCCCCGTTGCGGTTCGCGTTGGGTTGCAGCCGGGTACGGGCCTGGCAGCGCTTTGGCCGGCGGGATCCCCGCCTCGGGGGGCGGGGGGCACTGCTAAAGCCATGGTGTTCAACATCCCCACCCGGGGGTGGGTGTGATGAGGTGTGCCGAGCCAGGGGGATCTTCAGTGGGCTCCTCTCCCTAAGGCTGGGATGCTGCTCCGTGCTGTGGCCGTCGTGCAAAGTGTGTACATTTTTTTTGCCAGGAGATGAAGCCAACCCTCCTCACATCCCGCACCTTTTAGCCCCCCAGTTCCGAGATGTTCAGGCCTGGTAAATCCTGGATCATCTCACAGACACCAGTGTTTGATCTGACTGTCCCCCCGCAGCGCCTAACGGGCACCTCTTGGGATGTCTCCATTTTCAGCACGTACCCGAGCGTCCTGCTATTCCTCCTGACGCAGCCAGATCTCTGATTCGGAATGCTAACTTTCAGACTCCTGTATCTCTAAAAATATACTTGGCCTAACGCATCCCCAGCACCCTCACAGCTCTGGCAGCTGCATCATAGAGTCATAGAATTTGGGTTGGAAGGGACCTCAAAGATCATCGAGTTCCAACCCCCTGCCATGGGCAGGGACACCTCCCACTAGAGCAAGTTGCTCAAGGCCCCATCCAGCCTGGCCTTGAACACTTCCAGGGATGGGGCATCCACAACTTCCCTGGGCAACCTGTTCCAGTGTCTCTCCACCCTCATAGGAAAAAATTTCTTCCTGATATCTAATCTGAATCTTTTTTCTTCCAATTTAAAACCGTTTCCCTTTGTCCTATCATTACCCTTCCTGGCAAAGAGTCCCTCCCCAGCTCTTCTATAGGCACCCTTCAGATATTGAAAGGCCGCTATAAGGTCTCCCCGGAGCCTTCTCTTCTCATGCTGGCTACTCATCCTCACCTACTGGTAACTGATGCAGCTCCACCTGGTGAAGTGCTGAAGTACTTGTTACCAGGTTTTAAATGCAGGATGCTGCGCTGCTCTGTCTCATCTTACTTCTATTGTTTCAGTTGGAAAGGCCCTGTAATTCTTCTTAATTATCTGTGTGCTGATCTTCTTTACGGGCAACATGGCCTGAGTTTGTATTGTCAGGCAGTTTCACAAGTCTACACCTACTTCTTCTCCATGGCCACCAACACATGTATAAGAAAAAAAAAAAAGGATTGCTCGCAAAACTGATCTTTGAAAAACAGTACTAGCATCCTTTCTTTATTCTGGGAACTTATCTTTTAATAACCACTGTTGTAGTCTCCCGTAGTGCCAACCATTTCTCTACATACTGGGTTCAATAATTTCCACTTAATATAATAATTCTATGGGTTGCTGCATAACAGGATTTCTTTATGTGTAATTAGAACATTATCCATAAGAAGTCAGCTAGTAAAAATGTAATCAGAGAGGGTTTACTTTGAATAAAGCGTGGCAGCTCATTCCATTTTCTGTTGGGTCCCTTCATTACTCATTTCTTCTGAATCTTGCCCTAAACTCCTGTGTAGCATTGGAACCCAGCTAATAGCTCTTAAGTTGTCTCCGTGATTCCCACCATCTCCCGTCTTTCAGTTTTTTTAGTGCATGTGCTATCTTCACTCTTAAAGATTTATTACAGGTTTCATAGCTAGAGTTGGTAATAACTTGTCACTTATTATATTGGTTCTTCCAGTGTTCTAGGACAGAGGCCGTCTGGGTCACCTGATTTTCTCCCAGAAAGTGGTCTGTTTTGTTGCCCTTTTTTTTTTTTTTAAGGTTATTTTTGTGTTTATATTGTTAATTTCACATACTTTGTTACTGAGAACTGATAGTGTTGCTTGGTACTGGGATATCAGTTACTCTTTATCCTCAGAGCATAATGCATCTTCCTATTTTCCTTCTGTTTGTGCTTTAAGTATCTTTCATTATTTAGTCTTAAGCTTTCTGTGCCAGCTGTGGCCCAGCTAGGCTTGTGGGCAATATTCCTCTGTATCTGTGCCATCTAACCTCTGGGTTGTGGTTTTCCTTGCTAATCAGTCCCTTTTATATTCATTATAGATACAATTCGTACTTGTGCTATCCTGCTTAAGGTATGTGGTACTGGGGAAGGCCTGTAGACCTTTTTCACCTTTGGCTGGAAAGTCAATAGTACACTTCTGGGTTTGAATAATTGCATGCATCCTCTTGACCTGATCATAACTGAGTTTTGAGAAGAGAAATACATCTTCTCTCCGAAATCCTACACCTCAGCTTTTAGGCTTGCTTTTGTCACTCAAGCAATTTAAGTTTGCTCATGGTCCCTTATTTCAAAGTTGTTTATTCTCTTGAAACCAGTAGACCTGCAAGATCATCATTAAGCATCTTGGTATCTTCTCTGTTTCACAAAGTGCTTAGTAAGGAAATGTGTTCTGCCTTGACAAGAAATAGCAAGCTTTGCTGTTTCTGGTAAATTTTCCTCTAGGAAATTAAATCCTTGTTACTCCCACAAATCCTGTAATAACAGAGATGCTATTCACAGCCAAGTCTGACTTGGACCTGTACTTCTGAGGTAGCCTTTTTAACCATCCTGCCATGTGGTAATCTTTAGGCAGGCAGTATCTTTTTTACTTTTTTTTTTCCCCTATGCTGTCACCATCTTTTCCATGCTGTTTATGCTCTGATATTCACAGGCACTAAGTTAAATAGCAAGCGATGCCATTTAAAGGTAAGGGTTTTTTTTATTTCTTATACTTCCCAGTTGCATTCCATCACCTGCCTTTTGTTCCTGCAATGCCAGGTTCCCTGCCCTGGAGCAGGAGTTTCAGCACTGCCATTCTCCCCTTTTCTTTACAGCCTGGTAGAGGTTTTGGCCAGAACAGCTGCATTTGGTTCTACTGGCTCTATCTTCTCCCTTACTTCAGGGCTGCTTTTTTTTCTTTTCCATTGCTGAAGGCATAGTTGCCATGTTCCTATTCCTCTTCCTTTCTATCTATATCTGTTTGTGGCAGGTGCAGGGACTGTTTCTCACCACCCTGCCTGTTTGCTCTGGCACGAGATGTGTCTCACTAGTCAAGAAACCCAAGTCCTAAAAGATTGTTCCCTGTAGGTCAGTGAGTTCCGGTTCATGAGAAAGTCTTCATGCCATGTCTTCTTCATCCCTCTGCAGGGACTGGCAGACTCTTGGTGAAGATCACCTCAGCCTCTTCTTTGAGTCTTTCCCAGCTGGGCACATTTCCCTTCCACCACCTGTTTCCAGCACGAATGTTCTACAGACCCAGGCCTAGCACTTGTTCTGCCCTTTCTCCTGCTCCCATTGGGCTCCTCTTCAAGCCTAGATTTGGGCCTTGGCCCTGTCCAAGAGGCTGTAGGAGCAGGTCTCTGCTGCTGTAACACTTCTCGGCATGTCCTGGATGATGGGCTGCCAAGGAACCTTTTTCCCCACTTTGAGGAACTGGTGCAACAGGGGTTGGCAGCCAAGCTGCATGGGAGGTGCCTGCTGAGGGGTTTTTGGGGAAAACCTTGTCTTTTGCTGTTTTCTACTTTACTGTGGAGCTGCAGATGGGCTTCCTGTGGAGGCATAAGATCTTCCCTCTTCATTCCTTCTCACAAGAGTCCATGTATCCAAATGAATCTGGAGGGACAGAAAAGGTCCTTCTGGGAGCAGTGCTCCTCGGCACAGATGGCCCCGAGGGATTCACAGTGTTCCCGGGAACTGGAACAGCATCCAAAAACTCAATCGGCTTTTACACAAACATAATTAAGAAGTTGAGTTTTGACACTGCAGTGTACGATGTAGCTTCGTTAGAGAGCATAATGGTATTCATTAGTTCAGAATTAGTGTTGCATTCATTTAGGGCATGATGATGAAGCACTAGTACTTACAAAACACGCTGCTTTATACCACAAAATCTGGTGCCAAGCACTAATTTTTAATTTTTTTTTTTGCAATCAGAGGAATGTGGTGCATTATATCAGCATTTCCTTGTGCCAAGTCTTAACAGGCAAATGAGTCCTTGCATTCCAGAAGCAGCTCTACTTACTGAGCCAGGAAGCTGGTAACCTGTTAGGATGGAAAATGATAATAAATTGATTTGCATAATGAAAATGCATCGAAAGTGCTGTTTAAGTACATTTTATGTGTGTATATAGATTTCCTGTAGTTAACATTCACATTTAGAAAGGATTGAGATGTGAAGAGCTCTGGTATCTTTATTTTCAATTTTTAAAATTCAGATGATATTTTTGTATATTCAGCAGAACAGTCTGATTTCTCCCTGGGATTGTCAGCTCCCAGCTCATTCTCTGCCAGGAATATTTCATGACCCAAATACCATTTTTTGTCTTCTGTTTTACACAACTCAATTTAAATTTAGTGCCTATTTTTCCTCTGTGGTGCTTACATTCTTCACGAAGTTTAGCTTTAGCAGCATATAAAGAGAGTTACAAATTTACTATATTACTGTGGTAAAATCTAAGTAGGATTCCATTTTATTTATAAAACACTTCTTAGTGTTATCTGTTCCACTCTGATAATTAAGTCTTCCTGCCCCAGCGGACATTATTTCTTTCACTGTTAATTAGCTCTGTCATGGAAGGCAGCTCTTAATTTTATAACACCTCTCTCTAGGTATTTGTCATTACAGTAGCCTGTGATGTGCTTGTGGCTTCATCAGGTACAACCCAGGCTCTCCAGCCTCCTGGAGTGTTCGTGGATGCTGTAGAAATAAAGGTTAATGGAAGTAAAATTATTGACGGTAGACTTAGACAAGAGCGGTGCACACTTCTGGGGGCCTTTTTAGGGGTTCATAATAAACTAGAACTTTGTTAGTCGGGGCCTAATCACTTCCTTGGGTGCTTTCCCTCTGTGTTTTTCACAGCACAGACTTAACAACTTAAACTAGATTTCAGCCCTAAGAGTCCGGTATAGTCTGTGTTTTCCCTTAAACTATACTATAGTTAAGAAGCGTCCAAAATCTGTTAAAAACAGTGCGAAGCTTTTCAGTGACTAATGGCTTTTTGCATCAGCCCAAAAACTAGTTGATACCCACCAGGCTTATGTTGGCCATTTCCATGATCTGCAGAGTTCTGCCCAACGTGCCATTGCTAAGGTTCTTGTTCTGCTATTCCTTTATCACTGGGGTCCAGCGTGGCAGGAGTGGAGATTGTTGTCTTAGAAACCTGCATGATATGGCTTCTTAAAATTGCTTAAAATTGCTTGAATACCACCATCATCACTTCTATATATGAGCAAACTACGGCTGACTACTCTTTTTTGTGTTTTAGCCAGCAAGACCAAAAAACAGATATTTGTCAGCTACAATCTTCAGAACACAGACAGCAATTTCACCTTACTCATAGAAAACAGGATCAAGGAAGAAATGATGGCTTTTCCAGAGAAGTTCTGACTTCGCTTCATTGTAAAATAACCTGAGTTTTTGTTTTAGAAAAACTGATTGCAATTTTCACACTGACATTAAGTTAATTTGTTTTGTATTGTTTTGACTGAATTTGCAGTTGTTATTAAATATTGATGGACCCAAATGCAGTTGGACTTGGATTATATTTTTTTTTCCTAACTGTGCTACCCTGTTAAGTAGGGGACAGGTGAGTAGGGTAGAAAATACACTGTGATGTGAGATCATCACAAAAGTGTGTGCAGTGTCTGCCCTGCGTGCAATTATAGGCATCTGCTGGGAAATCAGTTCCAAATCCTACTTCTACAATTAATCTACTATGTCGTAGTATTGAACATAGTATTACAGCTTTTAGCGTTCAAATAATAATAAAAAACTCCATGGTTTTTGTATTGAAAAACTGTAACAAAATGAGCATTACCTTGCTCTTAAGTCCCTGGTGGTTGTAGTATTAGTGCTAAACACTGGATTTTCCTTCCATCTCTTAGGCACCAAGAACACTGGAAGGGTTTCACAAAGGGTTATCTGTACATCCCTGAGGGCTGTGTAGAGGGAAAAAGCACAGCTTGGTTTTTGGAACAATAGATATATCCATCAGGCTGCTGGAAGAGCATCATGTGTGTGAACTGAGCGTACTCATTAGAACACCTCAGAGCAGTGACCACCACCCACAAAGCATCCTGCTGCTACATCTCTGGACTTGCTTTTAGGTAGGACGGATACCCCTTCACAGGCAGATCCATGGGCTATTTCATTCAACAAGAATGGCAGCCAAAAGTTAATTAGACAAAAAACCCCAAAGCAAACAAAGAGCCAACGGCATGGTGACCATTTGCAGCTGTTGATATGTTCTGTGCTATCACACACCATCTATTATTCACAGCAATTTGGAGGAACACTGAATGTAGCAACCTGAAGAGCGCGTCCTGGTTATTTCTTTTGCATTGCAAGTTGAACCCTGACTGAGACAAGCTTCCAACACCGATAAAAAAATATACTAGTGCTCCTGCTAGAAAGCTGTCCTAATAACCTACAGAAAACCGATGAACTTGCTGTGGCAGCACAATCAGCAATTGAAAACTGTAACCGAGAGGTCGCCGATGTAGAAGGTATAACCCCTGCTGAAGGGGTTTGAACACCCATTGGCTTCAACATCACAGGTTTGATGTGGGCGCAGAGGGCCCTTCCTTACCTGGTGGGAACAGCTGCTGGTCCTTGGCCACAGTTCAAGATCAGGATAGCAAGAAAGCAACTGCTGGAGAGTACACCTCCAACCAGTTCACTGGTTTTCATTTACACCACCAAGCAAAACGAGTCCACTGTTCATCTGTGACTGAATGTAAAAGGTAATTAGTTGCAAATCAATGTGCGGATTTAATTAGTCTGGTTTATAGTCATCTCATTCTCTTTGTAGAGGAGGGTAAGGCTGTTTGCTGAGGAGTCACATTAGCTGCTGCTGGGTTGTTTCAGAAGTCGCTGCTAGGGAGCCAGACCAAGGAGAGCAAACTGATGGGACAACGTCATTTTATTCTGTACATTTACATACAAAGTTCTTTTCAGTAGGTACAACAGATGTAACATCATGCAGACATTTAGCTTGTAAGACTGTTTTCAGTACTTGATTTAAGCTTGTGCTATGAGGAAGCACCACCAGACTATTCATGATCAAAACGTACAGTAACACGATTCTTTAAAACTTCATCAGAAACTGAAATGGGGAGGGAGGTCTCACCCACTAGACATAACACACCATACTCCTTTCCTGAAACATTTTACACAATACATTTAAAATGAGGTTTGTCATTTTATTTTTCTTTTTAAAAATAAAAAAAAAGTTACAGCAGGGGAGATCATCCCCCCGCTTAATAGTGTTGTCTTATGTGCCAGCTACAGGCGCAACTTGACTTGACATTCACAGAGTTCAGTTAATGGCACTTCTGCTTCCAATTTGGTGACCTTTAGTGTTTGGCTCCAGGAAGTGGCAACAGTTAAAATACTTCCATTAACAACAAAAAAAAAAGCCCGGTTAACGAAACTGAAAAGTAAATCTCACAAACTCCTTTCTGGGTTGCCACAAAACACTTGCAAACAGGCAACTGTCGTTACCCATTTGTAGCTTGTCTGGCAGGAAAGGCAGTACTGAAACCTCAGAAGGGGAAAAAAACCCCCAAGATCAAGCATAATGTCACATTCACATTTTTGTTTAAACTCGCTAAGATGGAAGAAAGCCCTTAAACGGTAAACCCAAAGAAAAATGCACTGATGGGCTTCGAGGTTACTGAAGGTTCACAGAAAAAGGCCAAAATGGGACAGGACAGCTTTGATTGCTTCCCCTGCTGCGGTGGCCAGAAAGAGCCACCTGAGGAAAGCCTTTCCTGGTGATGGCCATGGAGGAGCCGATGGTGTGGCTGACTGAGCCCCCTGTCCCGCTGCAGGACAAGGCAGAGCTCAGCAAGCATCTCCACGTTTCCTTTCTGCCCTGCTGCGTCACTTGGTTCCCCACTCCTCCAGACAAGACCTGCTTAGCAAAAGCTTTCCAACTCTCTGAGCGCGCGTGGAAAAAAAATAATCATCACAGAAGCATTCATCTTTTCAGGAAAAGGAGCAAAACTGGAGCTGCCAAGGCAGGAAATTGGTTTGTGTTCTATTGTTGTGACAGAGAGCCAGACCAACCAGAGATGTTGGGGCTACCCACCTCGCAAAAGATCAGTACCGACTACCTGTACTTCAGGCAAAAAAACCCAAAAGCAGCAAATCAAGTAAATTTTATAAGAATTTAAAAAAAAAGAAAAATAAAAAATGCGACTTTTTTTCAGGCAAAAAAACCCAAAAGCAGCAAATCAAGTAAATTTTATAAGAATTTAAAAAAAAGAAAAATAAAAAATTGCCGCATGTTCCTGTCACCTAGTTTGTTTAATCACATAAATGTTGATACGTTTAAACAACCATTCTCTTCCCTGGGCCCGGTCTGTCATCAGAGAGCAAGCACCAGAATAGGAAACGATAAAGCGCTGTGGACAAGGCGGCGGCGAGCGCGCCGGGACCGCTGAGGGTGCTGGCAGCAGCCGGATCTCAGGGGCTGGTGGATGGTCTACAAGAGCCGTACCGCAGCGTGAGCACACGACGTGAGCACACAGAGACCACGAGGGGAGGGAGCCGCGGGCCCCACGGCAGGACGGATGGCAGGACGCCGCTCTGCGCTCAACCCCTGCTCCTCTGCTTTCAAGCCCTTTTCCATTAAGACTTGTTTCGCTTCTCCAATTTTTTTTTTGCTGTGAACCCACTTTTTTTTTTTTTAGTTTCTCCCCCCCTCCCAGTGCCAACCCCCCCCTCCAAATGTGTGCGGCTTGCAACAAGCATCTCATATCGAAGGCAAAAGTTATTGCACAAATTTGGCACGTGAATACTGCGTGAATGGGGAAGGCCTGGGTTTGGTTTGGTGTTTTGTTTTTTTGTTTTTTTGTTTTTTTTTTTTTTCCTTCGGTGAACACGCTCTGCAGAAGTCGCAGCACAGAACAAAAAGAGAAGCAGCCGCGCTCAAGCTCCACGTTAGAACTTGAGCGTAAGGAAGATCAGGCTCTCGCTGTCACAGCAAGTCTAGCAAAGGTGGAAAAATAAAAACCCAACCCAGTAGCGTAACTTTGGGCAAAACTACCATCAACTGGTCCAGTGTTTCTTACCAGGCTCAAGAAGAACCCGAATGTCCACATCCTCTGTAGGAAAATTAGCAGCTTTAGGACAACATTGTTACTCTGAACACAACAATCTCTGTCACTTCTGCAGGTCTACCTGTCCCCTGGCTCTCCTCAGCCTCTGAGGCTGCACTACTTACTGCATCGCCCGCCAGGGAGCACGGATCTCTGATTTATTGGGGCCTGTAAGAGGACATCGGCAGCCTAATGGAGGATGGAAATTGTTAGGTACAGCAGTTAATCGACAATATATACAGCAAGAGGAGGAAGGGGGAGGGAAGGTAGAGGAGGAAAGTGCAAACGAGCCGCTTTCCATGCCTATGAACGCAAGGTGTACATCAAACAAAGTGGCAATCCTACGGACACTCAGGACAACATGGACATCCTGCTGCTCCGTCTGTTTGAACGTCTGCACTACCGAGCAACCACAAATGGATGGCCTGAGTGAGAAAGGAGAGGAGGGAGGGAGGGAGAACAGGGAGGTTAACTACAATGCAAGAAAGCTGTTTTGTTTACCAAGTCCTTGCATTGAACTAGATCCTCAGGTTATTCACATGGTGAGAACCAAAATGCCGATGGCCAAAGGAAATAGTTGGTTTTGGGGCTGGAGGAGAGAAATCAGGTGGCCACTATCAAAGTGCCATCTGCACAGTAGGAGGCAAACTGGATGTTCACTTTGCTTAGCCTAGAGTAGGATCGATCCAGTTTACGTAAACTTGTATTTTTTTCCTGATGAAAATCCTACAAAAAGCAGTTGGGGAAGGGGGGAAATCTGTGTGAGTTCATTGTATATTCTTGGGTCAGAACAAGAAAACATCTCTAAAAGCCCCAAGACAGCCAACAGCAGACCATAATTCATTACTCACAGGCTATCAATTCATTCATTTCTGACAGTCAGCTAAGCATTTTGTCCACTTAAATCGAAAACAAAACCCTGGTTCTAAAAACATGTAAGGCAATGCCAGGACACTCATTTCCCAGAAGCAGGAATCCCAGCTGCGCTGCCTTTTGGAATAAAAGTACAGATCATAGCCCACGCTCCCTATTTTTTGTCCCTGCTGGCCTGTGCTCTTCTCCTGGAGCAGTCCATCAGAGATTCTGGGCCTTCTGGTAATTAAAGCCATTCTTGGCAAAACTAATCTTTGCATTATTGGTCAAATAATTTAATCATCTACATTACTACTTAAGACCAGCAGGAACTGTCTAAAATAGATTAATGGACTCTTAAAATGCAGATGGCTGATTCTCATTGAAAAATCAGCTTGTTTGGGTAGGATTTTCTTCACTGTATTTGGTGGGGAAAAAAAAAAGTACTAATTCAGAAAGTAACTTTTAAGTGCACATGGGCTATAAAAACAAACATAAGCTGCCTAAAATGCAGTCAGAGTTTCAGTCACAACAGGTTTTGCTTTGTTTTTTGTTTTTGTTTTTTTTTGGTGTATACAAACACAGCAGGCAACCTGGGCACTTGCACTTTCTAGACAGGCAGAAGAACGTTGCACAAGTCTAAACTTCAGTCAATTCAACTTTGCAGTGGATCCCTCTTTCCTTTAAAGAAACACAAAAACAAAACAGAAAACAACCCCCCCCATGGTTTCTTTCTTGGAATGGCTGCACCTCTTATAATAAGATGGCTTCATTTTTGTGATCTATGAAAGGAAAAGGAAATAAAGTGCTTCTTGAGAATAAATCAAAATAAATATACATATTTAATGGCAGGAAAAAAAGAGTTCTGAAGGGCTACCTCCAACCAGGTCTTTTCTCAGATGAGTCTTTTCCCCCATAACATTTTCAAGAGCAATCTGCACAACAGTTGAAGATGCCAAAAGTTGCTTTAGCAGCAGAGTTGAATTCCCCCAAGTCTGTGTCTGCTCCATCACTGGTTTGTAAAAATCTGTGCAAAACACCTTTGCCCAAAGTGCTGCTCCTCCTGCACAACAGCATCAAATAAAATACAAAAGAAAGAGGAGAAGGAAAAAAATAAAAACCAACGAAAAAATGAAGAAGGAAAAAAAAAAATCCACCCAGTTACATCGACTTCATCCCGTTGGCAGTGGTGTTCTCCGAGATCCCGTCACTCACGGCTGCCGAGTCATGGAGGCCAGAGTAATCCTTGAGTTCAGAGTTTGTCATGAGCAGGGGCTGCTCCCCCTTCTTGTGCGGCAGGAGGGGCTGCCGGGTGTAATGTTCCCCATCCGGGATGTTCTCGGGCAGGTTCTGGTTCTTGCTCTCCGGCAGCAGCAGGATGCAGATGATGCAGAGGAGCGTACAGCAGGCGAAGATGACGTGGTGGAGGAAGTAGCCTTTCTGGTTGTGGAGCTCCATGATGGGGGCAGTCAGGCGGCCGAAGCCCGCGCTGGCCAGGACCAGCCCCAGCCCACCTCCCCTGCAAACACAACAGAGGTGAGATCCCCGGCCCCACAGCCCCCTCCTGCCCGCGCAGCTCCATCGCCACTGGGATGGTGAGCCCACAGCCCTGACGGGTCCCCCAGGCTACACCCCTGTCTGGCATGCACCTGGTACCTGGAATCCCTAAGGCAAAGATGGTTTAGTGGCAGGGACACGTCCCACTAGACCAGGTTGCTCAAAGCCTCATCCAGTCTGGCCTTGAACACTTCCAGGGACGGGGCATCCACAGCTTCTCTGGGCGACCTCTACTCACTTAAGTATCTTTTCATGCCCATATAACTGCCCCCACATAAGGTGAAGAGAAGCGCTATCACATGAGTATGTAGACAGCCCTCCAAAGTATTCCCATGTTCGCATAATTCCATATTCAGCAAGGGAATAAACAGATTTTGCTTAGCATGCCAGCCTTCTCCAGCTTAGACAAGACACACCAAGAAGCAGTAGGTCGGAAGTCAATTTTGGCTGCCTCTAAAGTATTTGGCATCTATCAGCAGTGGAGGCAGGAGATTAGACTTTACAGGCTGCTTCCTCAATCTGTTATACGAAACACTGAGTGCTGAAATATAATCTCCATAAAAGTGTGTTGTGGCTGGAACCTCTCAACACATGGTTATTGTAATAACATGCATCAATTTCAGAAAAAAAAAAAAAAAAAAAAGATGACATAGGTAGTGGTCAGAATCAGAGATAAAGATTTGGTGTTAATTTCCAAGACCTCCTCTTAACTCACTGCACGAGCTGAGGTAGGTCCCTCACTTCACTCTTTCTTGTGTCACAGAAAGGAGTTCTGAAAAGGTTAGCATTGGTGAAATGCTTAAACTACAAGTAGGTAACTTTATAAAATACTCTTTATGGCACAAATGTTTATTTAATGTGCAATGTGCTCATGTACTGAGATTATACATGTATGCACACCAAAAAAGAGTGAAAGCACATTAAAGTTAAAAAAAAATAAAAGGGTGTGAAAATAACCTCATCCACCCCAGTCAGAAGCATGGAAGTCGCTTGCGCAAACCAAATTCAGTGCTCTTTCTTGATGCTCAGCTATGCAAGCAACCTCTCCTGCAATTCCTTGTCTTGCTTATTAATGTCTCTCCAGGTCCTGAACCGCACACGCACACCCACCCCATTTTGAGGCACAGCTCATGCTCCCAGGACCAGTCCCCACTGGGTGACCCCACACAGAAGCAGCACCACAGGCAATTCTCTGGGATGGACCATTCCCCCCTCCTGCCCCAGCACGACCGTGGCTTCCTCTGTGGCACTGAGGAGCATCACCCGCAGGTGACTCGTTTTAGCAAAATCTCTGAGCGTGGATGGCATCTTGTCTTTCATTTTCCAAAGCCCCTGCTGCCTGCAGAGGGAGGTCTCCCTGTGAGTTTGATTGCTGGCACCCTGCTCCTCACTGCCCCACCGAGCTGGCATGAGCAGCACACTTCCTGCAGCTACTCCTGGAGATGCCACCTTTTCCCAAACCCTCTGGTGATCAGAAGGGCTCAGGTGCTTCAGTTCCTAGCCCAAAGGGAGAGAGATAACTATTGACGATAAGCAGACCTAACAGAAGACAACTGCAGAAGGCAAAGGAACTGCTTTACATCAACTACTGGGAGAAAAAAATAAATATTCATAGACTATTGAGCATGCTAGAAATCACAGCACTATAAACCTATGGAATGCCAAATTCTGTCACCCAACCATTGCGTTAAAGCTAATCTTCACCCAGTCCTCCCAAAACTCCAGCGCTGCTTACTTGACAGCTACAGGGCAGCAAGCACAGATTTCAATAGATGCTCTTGGGACGCTGACTGGATCTAAAATTCACATGTGCACCTTTTAAGCCTCCAAATCAGCAAAGCATCTTTCACAGACAGCACTGATTTCCCCAAATACTGCAAAAGCCCTTATTAAAAACTTGCCAGCTTTCCGATGGCAATTTAGAAACCCAGCTGAATGTGGCCATTGTGCAACTGGCCTCCCTGCAACTTCATTAATACACTCACATGAGTAATCGACACAACCAGCCCCAAACGCATGGCAAATCACTCTCCAAGTTGGCTCCCGAGCAACAAAAGCCCAGCTCATTTACATCAACGTTTGCTACAGCTAAATTGTATCTCAGCCCCCCCGAGAAGGACCTGAGGTGAGTTTTAAAAGCTGCTGTAGAAGGACATCAAGCAAGCTGAAAGGAAACAGGAAAAGGCGACAACAAAGACGGCTCTGTCATTACGGGTCAAGCGGCTTCAGATTTGGAAGGGAAAAAAAAAAAAGTTTTTCCACATGACGTCAGCAACTAGAGCAGGCGTTACTTTATCCAGCGCCACCAGAACCTGGCAGAGGGTGGCTTGAAAATACATTTTGGTAGGCACCCTAAAAGACTTTTTTCAAAGTTTGACTGTACTGTAAACATGAAAATGGGGGGGGAGGGCAAAAAAAATAAAATAAGACAACTGAAAATATTGTTAGGAATTTTTGTTGTTCACGTGCACATCAGGAAAATCCATACAGGCCAAGAGAGGCAGCACCCTCAGTTCACACTGTTTTTGCAGGCGCTGTGGGGCAGTAGGTGGAAATCAAAACCACCCAGGGTGTTTTGGGGCAACGCTCCTCCTCAGTACCGGCTTCCCCATGGCAGGGAACTGGTGCCTGTCCTTCAAACATGCTCCGAGATACAGATTGGAGCCCAGGGAGGAAGCACGAGGGCTGCTGGCACTCACAGTGAGCCCCAGCTTCTCCCCTGGCATCTCCGTGGCTGTTGTGGAAGACTATCCCATGGCTTGGCCCCACAGGCGACCAGAGCCCCTTCTCCGACCCCCGCTCACCCAGCAGCAGGGAGGCAGGAGGGGTTGTGTGAGGCTCACAGTCCTGACACGGGCAAATTGCAACAGGACCTTGGTCCTAAATTTTGTCCTCATAAAGAGCCTCCCTATTCACGGGGGAGAATTTCCTCGCTCACAACTGCAGCTTCACGGTGGTACAAACGCAAAGCACTGGAAAGTGTCATCATCCTTATTAATAAACAGGGACCCTGAGGCATATCCAGCTATTGTCACTTGCTTGGTGTCACCCAGGAGAGTCAGGGGAAGCAGAATTTCAGCTCCCAGCCAGGATTTCTCCCCTTCCCTGTAGTAAGATAAGTGATTTAAGGAAAAAAGCTTGCTAAGTTCACACTGCGCATCTGACCCTACTTGGCAGATTCTCTTCTGGTTGACATGGCCAATTCCTTATCTATGTGTCTTTCAAACAGAGACAAGGGGAAAATTAAAGAGGCATAAAAACACCAAACTGACTGAGATGTACATAAGTAAATACCTGTTAGTGTTTCAGGCTGCTATATGATCTCCTCACCACTTACACTGCCTTTCCCTGTGGAACTAATATTATCTGTAAAATGCATTCACAAAGTCAGATAGCTTAGAAGAAAAGGCCACGCATCAAGGAGACTCTGGCCCCTCAGCTGACAGTTGTGCTATAATACTTTGCAAGGTTATTGAAAAGGAATGAAATTTGGAGGGGAAAAAAAAAAAAAGAAATCAGAGTATCCTCTTCCCTCCACTCTCCCTCCCACCCATATGACCTACATTCCTGGGAAATTCAATGGAGTCAGGGCAGACTCCTGAATTACTGTGGCACTGCTGAAAGCATAATCCAGAACACAAAAGCACAACCTTTGTGCCATGAAAGATAACAATGAATACATAAAATGGTACAAAAACCTGACTACACAAAGACATTTTATGGGAAGCTCTCCAGTGAAGATCACCTGCCTGATTTCTACTACTGCCCAGGATGAAAGTGCTCCTCTTTAGAAAAATGACCCTCTGCTAAGACAGATCTGGGTGCAAAAAGAAAGATGACTTTAACAGCACCAAAGGCAGACCACTCACGGTGGTGCTGCTGTAGGAGAGGCTGACTCGCAGAGCATCCATACACACCAAAAGCATTTAACACTGCATGTTGCAACATCTCCTTTCCACCAAAGCACCCCTATAGCTGGCCTGATTAACCTGCCCTATGGAGGCAGGGATTGCCCGCGCCTATGTCCTCCTCCGCACACTCGTGGAATTTCTCTTTTAATATCAAGCCGTAGACTCACATGGTCACTGCTTGTACAAATCTGGCAGAGTAAACGAAGCAATAACATGGTTGAACTGCAAGATCTGGTTCAGCTAAGTATTTAAGACCGTACCACGCTGCAAACACATGTAATTTGTTTGACGACTGGCTTCCTGATAGTCACCACGATGGGACACAAGGTGGAGCCATCGGAAACAAAGCCTCTCTTGTCTACAAGACAGGCATTTACTTAGGCAAACTGACTGCAGCAATACCGAATTAAAGAGCGGCCTAAAAATTGCTCTGAGGTCTCCAATTATGGGGAATTTCCCCTCCCATGCAATGTGTGAAGTTACACGGCCAGTTATCCATTAAACGAGGATAATTTCATCCCCATCCTTTGAAGAGGGGGGCTCCAATGTCTCACCTGATTACTGTGGGTGTGATTTCAGCACAGAAGAACACGCTGAGGCTTCCAACGGCATGCGAAGAAAACATACCCACAATGGAAAATGCGGTAGAGAATTTGTCTTTCACGCTGTCACTCATACCTGCCAAGACAAGCGTGTTCACAAAAAGTGAGAATGAGGCCAAACTTCCAAGGAAGAAAACAAGAAAACAGGTTTATGTTACTCATTCTCCCTAGTTTGAGTCATTTTTGTAATACTAATTTAAAACCGGTATTTATAAAACCCATTCCCCAAGCACCCAAGACACAAACATCCATGAAAAAAAATCATAATGCCATGCCAAATATGGCAGCGATCTCTGGATTATTTATGCCCAACCACCACAAAAAGGTAAAATCCAAGAAAAAAACACATTTTGGGCAGTCTTTTAGGCACCAGCCACTTCTCTCCCACGTTTGACAGACGTGTGGAGGCAGGCGGCGTTCATCGAGCTGCCAAACACCTGGTGGAGCTGGGTGGCTCAGGCACTGGAGAGGCTCGCAGGACCAGAGGGGAAAGAAATAAAAGCGCCTCCCGTCTCCGAGCTGAGCCCTTGCATGTCATCAGTCTGCAAACTCTGGCCGTAACCCCCAGCTTGGCAGCCTTTGCCTGACAACCTTGGGCGAGGAAAGCCAATGCCAAGGACAGTGAAGCACCCCCCTAAGTCACCGTGTCCAACAAGGCTGCTTTTTCAATCGTTTCATGGCTGGATGGCAGCAAGGTTTGAGGGAGCGAACAGCGTCTATCAAGGACAAGGAGAAACCCCAGTAAATCTAAACAAAGCTAAAGGAAGCTGCTTCCTGGCCATGATGGCAATACATCCCTCACTTGATTCCTACTCACCACCTTCTGCGGGAAGGGCTGGAGTATCTGACCCAGGGTTATACAAGCTCATGTGCTCTCTCCTGGCTAGCAAGCGGCCACGTTATTCGGAGAGAGTATTGCACCATATGAGGGGAACACAGTGTGTCTGGTGAGAGTGCTGGGGAAAGGACTGGAGCTTTGCAGCCAGTGTCTCCCACCTTCCTCCAGCCAAGACCCAAGATCTGCCCAGAGAAAGGGCTGCTCATGGGCCTGCAGTCCCAAGCAGGTGCACCCTCTGGATTGGGCACAATGAAAAGTAACACCTGCTATTGTTCTTGCTGAATATATCAGCTCTCAGGAGAGCAAAAGGTCCTTGGGAGCCCTTAGGTTACAGCTTCTGAAACGTGCTACAGCTTGCTCAGGGCTAAGCCCTTTCTGTGATGTGCCCCAAGTCTGGGGGAGAGAGCAGATACTGCTGTCCTGATAAGGATGTGAGCATGGCACCTTGCAAACTATGGGTCTCTGAGGCTCCCTGCAAGAGCTGCACCACTGACCCCACAGGGAGTCGTGACTGCTCAGCAGAACAGACCTTGGAAAAGCTGGGCAAGGGCAGGTTCATTAAATCAGATACAGAAGGGTGAGTTTTGTTCCCCTGTAGCCTGTCACTACATTGCAATTACAGTACTTCAGGCTGGGATAAGGTGCCCAGGAAAGCATTTTCTAAGGTGTTTAAGTCCCCTTACCAGAAGGAACTTTGCCATTTCAGATCTTTCTGGAAAAGACCAAACTGGGAATGTTGCTTCTGAGAAAGCCTTGCCCCTTATCTAAAAATGAAGCTTGGGGGACCTCTGCACCCTCTCTTGACATGCAGAGGCAAATCAGACTATGTAGAAGGGATGCTACACCAAGAGACTGCATATAAACAAACAGGCCTGCCTACAAGTGGGGTGCCAACGTATTATGTAGAGGTGGGCTTTTCCCCTGCACCCCTCTGCTGTGGCAGCTCCCCTCTGAGTGCTTTGGCCCCAGCCTTTTGGATCTACGTGCTCCTGGCATGATGCAGACCCGTCTGTAAACCATACCTGAGTCTGGAAGTTGACTGTATTTTCCGATCACTGGATCCAAGACCACAGAAGTTAGAGTAAGATAAAAATAAGAGAGAAAGGGAGAGAAAAAAAAAAAAAAAAGAAGAACATACTGTTGTTACATATTTATTTTTCCAAAGGGAAAAAAAAAAAAAAAGAAGGTAAATCCCACATGCCACCCTAGGCCCCCATTCACTGCTCCTTTCCCCGATCTAAAGGGAAAAAAAAAAAAAAAAGAAGGTAAATCCCACATGCCACCCTAGGCCCCCATTCACTGCTCCTTTCCCATGCCATGACTGGCACATTTTCCCATGGCCACTACATAGGACATGCCATTTCCAGGCCCCTTTCAGCTGGAGGTCAACATGCTAATGAGACAGTGATAACAAATGCAGCAATAAAGCATTTTTAAGAGCTCCAGAATTACCACTGGGATTAACACAAAAGCCTCTTTGTTGTTAACGAAGGGGGAGAAGAGAAACTGCCCTTGTGCTGCAGCCCCGAGAGAATGGCCAACAGAGGCTTGAGTTAGAGAGCAAAACTCTGGGCATCAGCACTCTCGCACTGGTGGGAGAGCTATTCCTTGCCAAAATAGTGAGTTGGTGGTCCATGTGTCATGCTATCCACCAGTTGCCATGCATCCTAACCACAAAGGAGCCCACGGCAGTACTGGGCAGCAAGGGAGAGGGCAGTGCCATGAGCTGGGCACAGCTCTGCTGGTGATCTCCCACCAGGCTCCTAAGACATCTCAGGTGACACCCCAGGGTCCAGAGGAAGGTATAAACACGGAAAACCTCAAGGTCTGCCACAGGTTTGCTGCTAATGGACAATACCGCTCTCCCTCTCTCGCCTTCCTTCTCAAATTCTTATTTCATTTACTAACTACACCCAAATTACGCTAAGCTGAAACACACAGGAGGCTGTAACAGATTTCATAATCAGCAGGGTCACTGCTTCCCTCCAAACACTATCTAGCTCTTCTGAGGAAGAAGGGAGGCACGGTCTAAAGTCGGGGGGAGACAAATTGCTCTGAAGTTCAAGGCTGCCTTTCCCTCCTCTTCTCACAAAGGAAGGGGAGAGGGGAGAGGGCAGAGTGGGGAAGGCTGATGGGTGCACGGCGTTGACAGAAGTCTGGGTGCCAATGTGGCAGAAGTCACCCAGAGCCCATGGCTGCTCTTAGTTTTAGCAACTTTGCTCACAAAACCACCTAAGCCCGTTACAGAAAAGGTTGTAACGATTCCTACAAGGCGTTCCTCCCCACCTCACTCACCCCTTTTTTTGTTGTTGAAAAACTGCAAACAGATTTTCATGGCTCTGGAGCAGACTAATGGCTCTGGCAAACTTTCTCTAAGCAACTGCATGTTTATTACCACAACAGCCTCAACAAGCATTTGATATCCTTAAAAAAAAAAGTTAATCTAGTGTAGAGAGACACTGATGGACACCGCCATCAGAATGTGGAGTTGCAGGAGGTCGCACACATGCACAGTGTGCATCTGCTTGTGAATGGACACAGCTTGTCAACGGGCTGGGGATGAGGTGGGGCCAGGGGGCTTCTATTCTCAGCTGGGACTGCTGGACATGGCAAATATGTGCTCAACGGGAGTGTAAGCATCTGTGCCAAGCTGGGAGCAAACACATGCGATTTTGGAGTTTCCTCCATGTCATGAAAGAGGTCCCCTGTTTCCCTCCTACACTCCCACAAATAGCGTGCTCACTAAAGGTTACCTTAGTAAACACTTTCAGGAAACATGGTCTGTAAATATGGACAATTCTTGCTGGCTTGGGGTTGCCTTCAGCATGTGGGAATGTGAAATCTTTCCATCCTCAATGCAAAAAACTCTCTCATTAAAGCCCTTAATTATTTCTAAACTTAGAAATGAAAAACAGCAGCATCCAGTGTTCTAGTGTTTGCCTCATATCCAGTTTGTTCAAAGCATGTCTCAACCCTTTTCCCCTTCCTTGGGGAGGTTTCATGGGACAGAGGTCTAATGGTTGGCAACCGTGAGAGTGGCAAAGCACATCCCACCTTCCCTCTGCTTCAACACCTCTCTGATCCATCCAGTTCAACTTCCTCAAGCTTCAGAAAATTAAGACAAGGAAGTAAAATTAAAAAAGGAAAGGGAATATTTCTGTAGCAGTTTTAATAGCTGAAGCAGTTCAAAAGGGCCAGAGGAAGGTCACTGCCTGCAAAGGAGGAGGGAAACTCTTGCTTTTGGCAGGAACAACCCGTTTGAAAAGCTGTGTCACCTCACAAAATCATGTGTACATGTTCATACAGACTATGCATATATACTATGTTAAAAGTAGGGTCTTTCAGCTGCATATTTCCATTACTTATACATAGCAAGATGCTCAGAGCAGGGAGAGGACATACACCTACTGCTTTAACTTATTTTTGGTTTAGAGGCCATTTGAGAAGCTGACTCAAGTGGGAAAGTTTTCCCATCCCTATCCAGATCTTTCCCCAGAGGCTACTTCATTGAAATAAAATAAAAAGCATTTTTCTATTTGTTTGCTTGTTTTTAAGTGACAGCCCTAGAAGCAGTACCATCACTAAACAAGCTTCACCACAGCGTCTTCATCCAGAACACAATGCCTTTTTTAAATGAACCTAAGCCAACAAGTGTTTGAGGAATCCTTCAAACAAATTCAGCTTCTTAAGCTAAGCAGGCAGAAGGCAAAGGAAATGCTAATATTTCCTGGTCCCTTATTTGCATGTCAAACTGAAAAACTCTCATCTCCAACTTACAGTTGAGAAGGCCCAGCTGCAGAAGCGAAGCCAGGGCTGTAAGGATCATGAAAAGCAGGAGTCCTCCTCTCCTCCCCAGAAACCCGACCACCGGGCACATGGCCAGGCAGGATGCCAGGGCGATCCCAGCCATGGTGTAGTAGTCCGCATAGAAGTTGTGGGTAATCGCCATCTTCGCTTCGTGCCCCATCATGCTTTTTGCAAAACAGTGGTGTATGCCGTAACCAGTCAGCCTGGGGAAACAGAAGGCAAGAGGAGATCATTGCTGAGAAGGCAGCCACACACTGCAACATAACTCAGAGTAGGAACACAGTAGAGTAGGAAGAATTTCTTCTGCTAAAGGAATATACCACCTAGTGCAAAACCACTCATCTCAAACTTCTAGGTGCTACTGTAAAAACAAGCAATGATCAAAAGCAGCAAAAGAAAAACCTCTATTCAACCATTTGCTATCCACTGGCTCTAGGAGATAGCAAATCATTTGCTATCCACTGGCTCTTACATCTGTTGCTTGTGGTATGATCGGGGTACAAGCAACTTTACAAGTATTGCTAGTGTGTGATTGGTTTTCCCAGTGTATTTGAAAAGGATGTCTCTCTGTTCCTAGTGCATCTGCTGACAGCCACTGTGATGAAGCAGCCTCTAGTTTGGACGGCAAAACATTGTGCAATACAGATGTGTCTTCCAGGAAGACCCACCTGTCTGTGGCATTTAGTTGTACTAAAGACCGCATCTCGCTTCCCAAGCTAGCCTGTTACAACTGAAAACCCCTCAGAAACAAGTATTTGAAGTCACATGTGCTACAACTAGGAAACAATAGGCCCTAAATACAATCTACACCTTTACACTACCCTTCGTAGCAATGTGTCTCCCCTTCTTTTAAATGTTGCTTCATGTTGTCAGTGATCAACGTCTTGCCACAACAACCTCTTTGTTGTGCTCTCTCCCACCCCCAGAAAAAAAAAGACAGGAAAATGGACGAGAAAAAGAGTAGGGGGCTGGAGGTACAGAATTCAGATGAGAAGCCCCAGCATCACCTCTGATATGGTGCAAAACTGCAGCAGAGCTCCTACAGGAGGTCAAATGCTCCCAACTGCCCCCATCACAGCACAAATACCTCTGCTGGGAAGGGCCTCCTGTCTCTGGCATTTAGACCAGACAAACCTCATATCAGAAATTAATTGTGCCTGATAGAGGCAGGCATGGATCCAGGTCTCCAAAAAATGAATGGCACGCACATTACACTGATACCCCTCTATTCTCCTGAAGGTAAGGCATTTGAAGCTCTGTCAGTGTAAACTGGATATTAATATAAGCACAGAAACAGTTGGAGCAATACACAGTCGCTGATTGCATGGGAGCCCAGGGCCTGAGGAATTTCACTTGTGATCTTGTGAATCAATGCTATAGTTCAAAAATATACTCCCAATATTAAACACCTTTCCCCTGATAAAAACCTAACACAAGTACTTGCTGTTACACAAGAACGTCATTTGCTTTGGTTATCTAGATTATAACTGACTCCTCCCGTAAGAGAAATATCAATTAGCAAAATAATATTTAATAAGAGGGCAGAGTGAATGAGCCCGTATCTTCTCTATCTCTCTTCTGCACATGCAAACACCTTGCTGAAGTTGCTATTTAGGCCATGACCTATAAGCTAAATTAATGTATCATTTGAACTTTGCCTTCCAGCCTGCCTCCCCAGGAATTACTCTATTATCTTAACTTGCTGAGCAGCTCAGAACAGTTGCTTTTAAAACTAAATACATTTATCTCCCTTGATGTCTCATCATTCCCTCCAAAAGGTTCCTTATCCATATTCCACACTAAAATTTAGCACAGCCCCATCTAACAGGAATAACAGAATTAGGTAGGGTTTTTTTTTTTCCACCCCCTAAAAACAAGTATGAAAGCTATTTCCTCAAACACACATCTGCTTCACGCTCTACTTGGACAGCAAACAGCCTCCGTCTGCTATTGCCAGAAGTCATTCTTTGGGCTGCCTAATTCTGGTTTAGGGAATTTCCAAATGTGCATAATTAAAAAGTAGGAGAGAAGAGGAGAATTCCCCATGTAAAGGTTTTTCACAAATACAGTTAACACTGGCTATCAAATCTACCAGCTCAGCCCAAGAGGAAAATGCTGTTTCAGAACAGAGGGAGTCACCCACCGGTAGGTGAGGGAGAGACACAGAATCATAAAACCAGAGTTGGTTGCACCCCTACTGTCCCCCAAAGTTGAGTTTGGTTAGAGGCTAAATTTGCAGCCCATCCTTTTCCTCTTTACAAGGTGCTGAGTTTTGGACAGAAGGTCTCAGAGCCTATAACCTGCAAAACTCTCAGGCAGATGCCTGGTTTTGCCCACGTACACATGTCCAAGTCGAAGCTTTAGGACGCAGGCACCACGTTGCTCTGTGTGAGACCACACATCCTCCCTGCGTATCATTTGGGAGAGCCGAAGCTCTTCATAATCTGCTGCTGAAGACCTACCAAGGACAGCTGTTATACAAGGGAGCAGGCTTGTATTTGTTGGCAAGCAACATCTGCCTCTGCAACACAGCTATTTCAGATGGGAAAAACGTGAACTTGTGCTCATGTGGCACTAATGATTTCAGAAATCCCGCCCAGGATGCCAGCAGCAGCAGATGTCTGCATGCATGAGCATGTACCAGCACGTGGCCATGCCAGACCACTGGTGATTGCAATGCACTTGCAGCATGACACCTGAGAAGACACATGGTGCTGCTGTCTGAAACAGCCCGTGAGTTCCTCCACATTTGCCATAGAAAATAATTCCCTGCAATAGCTGATGTTTTTCCAGGATCATTTATCAGAGACACTAGCAAAGGGTCCCACATTAGGACACTGAGGAGCTCCTTCATCACTCCCCGTTACTGCTTCCAGTTCACCAACCACACAACTACCCAAACAGAAAGAGATCAGACTTACGAGTTCACACACAGTACTACGATGTTTTTCCACAGGTTCCTGGTTCCCACCACTTTAACAATGCAGACTTTCTTCGGTCTCCTGGTGATCTCCTTTTCCAGCTCTGAAACAAATCAAATGAAAATTATTCTTTCACTGGGGAGAATGAGAAAGAGAAGCTTCACTTGTGAGCTACAGGTATTCTGAGGGGTGTTCTGGAGAGCAGAACACTATTGATTACACTAATAGGAGTGATAAAAACACTAAACAACCTGCCTAAAGTCCACCTCAGGTTCCTCCTTTTCTTTGAGGCTTCCCTTAACCTTCTTGGGGCTGCAGAACTGCCCAAGGACTCCTTAACACCCCAAACCTCCTCCCGGTTTAAAAAGTTTATATAAAATGGGGGCAATACAGAGCTTGATCCCAGCCAAGTGTGATATAAACTTTCCTGAAGAACTTCAAGATTCTGTTAATTTTTAAATCCTCCCCAGGTAGGACGGTGCTTGTGCAGTTACAAGACCTGCTGCCATTCTGCAACGCACACCTGAAAAGCCATGGCACGGAAAGGGCTGCAGCTCAAGCTCATTTTTCACACGAATCTTTTGAGCTCTGTTCAAATCCAGGTTTCAGAAAGAAGTGGCTAGGACTCTATGTCAGATCATCCTCTTCTCTTTCCCCCATTTCAAATATTTAAAATTGTTCTGGTGGTTGTCCTAAACAGAAGACATTTCCTTCAAGAGAAATCCTTGGGCATCATCAGCTGTGATGTCTTTGTGTTTCAGAACTAAAGCCTCGTCACGTCCTTGAAGTGCTGGGCAGTTGCAAGCTACCTCTTCTTTGCAATCCTACACTAACACACAAGCCTCCCAAATATTGCACCGGATATACTCTTGTCCACAGGGGACAAAAATGAAGGGCGCTGCTTAATCCCCAAATATCATCAGGTTAGAGCTTGAATGCTTGCCCGAGCACACCAACAACATCACTGTGTCCAAGCTACTGGATGAGCGAGAGGGCTGCAGGGGCATGAAGTGCGGTCAAAACGGAAGAAGCTGTAGCTATAAAGAAGCGTCACAAAAAACGATGCACTCCAAGAGTACAGACTAGGAGAGTTTTTTAGGGCAAAGGCTTGTATACTGCTGCTTTCTAGAGGGACTGCGTTTGAAGGCGGCAGCGTGGCCCTGCACGGCTTCCCCTCCTGCATAGGCAATTAGCCCGGGTGTCCTCAGTCGCCCGCTCTCGCCTGCCCCGACCCCTGCGTTACTCCACAGAATAGTAATCTCTTCAAGAGATGCAAGACAGGGAAAAATAAAAGCGAGACGTGGGGGGAAAAAAATATGAGATAAATCACCTGAATTTTACAAGCAAAACACACATTTTTTTTGCTGTTATTTGAAAATTTTATCATAAAAGTAATAAATCAAAGAAACGCTATATATGTGCAAATAGTAGAACTATTCACTGCTCTCAAGTCACTCCTGGTCTTCTATATAGAGTAAATACAGGGAACACTTCTGAGAAAAGCAGCAAAGAGTATTTTACATTAATGACTGTAGTTAAGCAGAATATTGCTGTACTGCTTTCCTTACTACCTGATAACATCCATTTCTCCCCAGAATCTACACAGCATGAAGCTCACAAAAGCATAAAAACAGAGGTGGAGCAAAAGAGGAAATTGGTCAAATTAATATTTGTACTACAGGAGCACTCAGCAGGCTCAGCAATGGATCAGGGCTATATTAAAAATATAAGCAATAAAATAAGATGGTACCTAATCTCAAAGAGCAAGATCAAAATGATTTTTCTGGAAAGGAGTAAGTGGGAATAAAGTAATTCAGAACAAGTGAAGCAGTTAGCTAAAACATAGTTCTAGAGCCTGTAATTGAGCCCAAGCCAAACCTTCTACAGCCAAGGAGTGAAAGCAAGCACTGGAAGCAGCACAGCTGGTGACTGTTTGTTGTTTCAGCTGAAGGGCAACAATGAAAATCAACACCCAAACAACACACACTGCACAGATTTCATGCAGACATAAGGATTCACTTTCAAACGGTCCAAGAATGACCAGATCTGGCCTGTCAAAGTAAAACATCATCTCTGTCTGCAAAATACAGTCCCTGATGCTATATTCTTTGAATTTTCTTAATTTTTTTTTCTGTTTGTTTCTCAAAGTAATTGTCACTTTTTTTCTTTGGGAAGAGAATGTAGACTTTATTTTCAGTATGTGCTTTACTCAGTCACAACTTAATAAAATTAGGAGAAGCAATTGTCATGCATCCTTCCCATGTGCACTCAAGCCTGCTTTTAAACTTCCTTATAAATCAGTCCTTCCGAACCAATTCTCGTTAGTGTTGTCACTGAACTGCTGTTCTGCCCTCAAGAACCAGATAGCCCGTGGGTAATGTGAACTGACAAACACCTCCTCTGCTTCAGCTGCAGTGAGGATCCTACACGAGTGGGATTTCACTCTCCTCCTCTACCCTGCCTCGTGCAGCAGCCTCCCTTCAGTGGACTCGTGCTTCTGCTCTGGTGAGGATACAGCATCGTTACACAAAAATGTCCCAAAAGAGATTCTAGATGTAGCTTCATTACAAGGACTAAAGAAAAAAAAAAAAAGAAGAGAGAAAAAGGGGGAAAAACAAACAAACAAAAAGAATCTGGCCTCTAACCTTACACCAAAGAACACAAAGAGCACTTGACTTTTTACTAAAAGCTGGCTCTACCAGCTACTTACTCCTCCAGCCCTTGATGTGTTAAAACTCTGCCTCAGATGAATGACTCTTCCCCAAGTCTCCAACACTGTATATCTTTCTGACAACTTTCTCCATCCTTTATTTCTATAAATACCAGCCAGATGTTCACAAAAAACCCACCCTACTGCAAAGTCAATCATTTACAATAATCAAAATACCATTCAGATAGCAACAAATAAGCTATATGACTTGCAAAAAAAAATCACCGACTACAGAACTGGCTCTCATTTAAGTGGCCCGCTGTCTTTGGAGGTAGCCTGCTTGCACAAAAGCCTGCTCCGACTGACTCAGACAGGCATCAGGAGAGCGACAGCTCTTCGGCTTCATAGGTCAATGTTAAGCTCTTAAAAGAGAAGTCAAGCCAATGCCCATTAAAACCCCACGGGAGCAAACTATTGCTCTGTCAGTTACTGGAATAACACCAGGAAAACTCCCCGTCCCCAACTTATTATTTGATTTTGCTCTGAAGTCACCAGTTCAGAAGGAATTTGCATTAAACATTTCAGTTCTGACTGATTCACCAGAGGGTCAAGTGTGGAAAATAAAAAATATCTTTATCCATTTACTCAGAGGCCCATTATGAGTTTTCCCATACTCTGGAGCCCACACACACTCTAGGCTTCCTATTCAGGGACTCCATAAGGAAACTGTCAACAAGCTAACTCTTTATATCTCAGTGGAAATTAGAACTATTCATTGGGAGACTTTAAAAGTCTCATGGGGAGGGGAACCCTACCAGCTTCCAGCTCCCAATGCTGCTGAATTCTCACGGGATCCCCTGTGTTTCAGGAGCACGGCTTTCAAAATCAGAAAGTATCTCTAAAGCCTTCAAATGAAGCCACCCATCTCTGCATCACTTGGCAAAGACAAAATAGACAAAGCTCAAATCAAGCTGCCGAAAAAGGATGTCCAAAATGACAAGTGCCCTGTGGTGATGGACTTCTGCTGGATTTTTCTGGCTGCTAAACGATACTGACAGTAGCTCTTTGAGCGTGAAAAGAGCTATGGAAGCCCAGCACAGAGGCTCAATCAATCCCCGGAGCACGACAGCCCTGCAGCAGGAGGTAGATCGGTCTGAAATGCAGAGCTGAAGCAACCTACTCACAGCTGAGTTACTGGTACACAGGGTTACAGTTATACCTTCAAGGATCGCTGTCTCCATGATCTCCCTTTGTGCTAATTTATTTATATATTTATTTTTAATCATGGGGGACTAGCAGCCTGATACATTGTGTTTTTGAAAAGCCTGACAGTAAAGGAATATTAAAGGCTATTAAGTCACATACAGAAATTATGAGGTGGGTAAGGAGGTGATTGACCGGCAGACAGTCATAAGGGGGTAGAAAAATTTGAATCACAAGTGGATGGCAGGAGGTTAGTGACAGGGTGACTTGTCTTATTCTGAAAATAAATAAATAAATTTAAAAATCATGTTTAATAACCTCACTAGGGAGCTTGGCACAAACCTTAGGAAAGTGCCAATGAAGTCTGCTGGTGACAAAGTGAGGCACTGCCAGCAGTACAGCACAGAAATGGGACATCAGAGGGAACCGGGTGAGCTTGAGACCCTGCGCGGCAAAAGCAAGTAAAAATGCAAAATACAAGGTTAGATACTCAGGGACTAATGGGAAATGCTTCTTCTGGAAGATAAGCTTTTAGCAAATACTGTGATGGACTTGGTTTAAGGTACCAGTTTATTGTGTCCATGAGGTATTTGCAATTCAGACAGTGAAATACTGGTGCTCTTTTACCAATATTTGAGAAACTAAAGCTTTGGCAAGTCTGTTTATGAAAGGAAAGGAAATAGAGGAGGACTTCAGCTCAGCAAAGGAATGGGGCTGCTCTGTCCTCACATAGCATAGGAAAATAGGAAAAAGATTTAAGATAGCCACCAAGAGGAGCAAATGGGGAGGGAAAAAAGCCAAAGAACCTAGACAGCTATAGTGTATTTGAATTGAATGCTAAAAAGTAACCCAGTACAAGAGCAATTTGGAGTCTGGAATAGCCTTTCGACAAAAGCACAGGACATAAATACTAACAGCATTTAAAATGAAGCTCATTTCATGAGAGTAACTCGATGACTATAATAGCAAAGGACTGATTGCAATAATTTGTTTCAATCCTGTATATCTAATTATATTCAAAAATATAGGAAAAGCCAGACATAAGGTTGCCATTGCAATCTTCAATTGCTCATATGCATTATGATACAGCACTCAATTAAATGATCACACATTAGATTTTCCCCCAGAATGCTCACCACTGTCAGCAAATGGGCAGCTATTAATGTTGTCTCTACCTTTCCCATTCAACATGTGCCCCTCAGCCTTATTATCCAAGTCTCCTGGTGAATACAAAATCATAGGTTTCCTCAGAGACATTCTTACAATGCTGTCAGAATATTCATGTCCTTCATAAATACCAATGAAATCATCCCCACCACCTTCTTGTAAAAGTAGGGACAAAGATTACTCCTGTTTTGCAGGCAGGGAGATAAAATGTAGGAGAATTGTGTCCAGAATGAGAAAAATCATGCAGCAATACCCCTTGTAGGTGCTGATATAAATGCTCCAGCTTTCTGCAAATCAAGCCTCAGAATTGCATGCTGGAGATAGACACTGAAGAAACTGTGATTAGTGACAGCATTGGAAGAGCCTGATTCCAAGGAAATTTCCATCATCATACAAGGACATCCATGGCAGACACAGGGAACATGGACAGCTCTTCAGGAGCCACTCAGCTTCGTTTCCCCAAGAGTGTCCTCTTTCCTTCTAAAACCCTCTGCCTCATTCACTACACACCTTCCAAATTCTGCAACAAATGAGGAACAGACAACAGCGTCATCCCCACAGCATCGTCCATGCTATGCACTGATTCGTCCATCCTATGCCCTGTGGAAAAAATAGGTCGTAATCATGTTATTAAAGGCTGTATCATCATGCCTTCATGCCAGGAGGCCAAGCAAGGGTTGCCCAGGCAACCTGACTTCTTGTATTTCCCAAAGCGTGACTTGTCAATGTTTACATTACTCTAACACTAAAAAAAAAAAAAAAAAAAATCAACACAAAGAATACCTCAAATGTCACTATGTGGAGCCATCAGGAGGTTTCAGACACCTATACATGCACTGCTGTTATCTACTGCCGGAGCTATGGAGGAAACCTGAGCAGGCAGAGCAGGTGAGCTGGGCAGTATGGAGTGGTGAAGCACACATTTTAGGAGTGGATTTCACAAGAGAAAAGTGCCGAGACTGAGCCCTTAGGCTAGACAGCTTGTTCTGGGGGTAGGGGGAAGGAAATGGTCACAGTCCGTTTGATCTCCATGCTCTAGCTCTCCTCTCCTCTTCCTGTACAGTCATTAATTCTCCTCAGTCCCTTGTTGCCTTTGCCCCTATAAGTCCCTTCCAACTCTTTTCACTCTCTTATTTCCTCTCTTCTCTGTCCACTCATCCCCTCTTCCTGCTCTCTGCATGGCTCCCCAGGTCTTCCTGAAGAGTGGTCGGGCATTGGAATAGGCTGCCCAGGGAGGTGGTTAAGTCACCATCCCTGGATGTGTTTAAGGGACGTTTAGATGGGGTACTGAGGGATATGGTATAGGGGAGGACTTTGTAGAGTAGGGTAGATGGTTGGACTCAATGATCCCAAGGGTCTCTTCCAACCTGAATGATTCTATTATTCTCTCTTAACCTCTCATGTCTACACCCAGACTCACCCATCCTCTCCCCTCGGTGCCCGTGGGCCAGGGGAACACGGGCAGGGCCAGGGGCTTGCTGCCAGCCCACCACACGCAGTTCCTGCCCTATAAAGCCAGCTCCTCTGGGAGGAAAGGTAGCACTGGGGACAAAGAGCCAGTGTGCCAGCCGGGTACAAAGCAGATGCGACAGGCTGGAGTGCAGCCAGTGAGAGTCTGCGGAGGGCTCGGCTGGTGAGAAAGAGTGATTCAAGCTTAAATAGAGGCTGACACCCCCTCTCTCCCCTCCTTTTTTTCCCCCCTCCCCCTAGCATAGTTGGCTTTTCTCACTGGCATCAAAAGGCACATCCTCTGTACAGCGCTCCCTTTTTCCCCTGTCCTCTCCAAACCCTGCCACTGTCAGAGGTCGCTACCACCCTTGCCAGGGATACAGTCAGGGCATGCATGGGCTCTCCTCTTCCTTTCCTGTAGACCTAGCCAGTAGAGGAGGACTTACACTCATCAGTTTTTTTATTCTTGCTACTGGCTATTTACCATGTAACTGCATGTCCTGAAAGAGTTCCACAAACTCCATCAGTTCCTGATCCCGGACAATAAGGGAGCACCAGGAGAAACCCAGGCCCTCCTGAAAGCTGATTTAACATATGAGGGCATCAGAAATCACTGGCTGATTTTGTGTGAGATGGGAATCTCTGTGGCTGGCACATGTAAGACTTAAGGCTGCCTTCAAGCAGCACTTTGAACTGTTCTAACTGAATTTCCCCCATTTAGCTGACTGATCCCTGGGACTTGTATGGGATATTTAACTTTGGTACCATTAAACAACCAAGAAACAGGATCTAGTAAAGGAACACACCTGTCCGGTTTGTACATAGTAGCATCACATGGAGTTACCTGTATTATGGGGCCAGGGAACTTGCTTGCTTTCTCTAGCTATTACACCTGGTTCTTCAACCACCATAAGCTTTAAAGCAGTAGTGTAGCTGTAGGTGTGATTGTCCTCGGATATGAGGAAAGCTTTGCAGGGAGAGTTAATCTCTTCTACTAGGGAAGAGACTGACTTGCAAACATAGGGCTTTTTCACCCTTTGGAGAAAAAAAAAAAAAAAAAAGGCATGCAAGTACATGGATCCAAGCCTCAAGCTTAGGGAAAAAGAAAAAAAAAAAAGCAAAGCAAAACAGGAAAATAGCTTATGTATAAAAGCAAAGTCATGGCAGCATGTTACTCAGCAGCAAGAAAGATGAATGATAATTTTATATTCTTCATAAAAGAAAAGCCCCTAAAAATCACAGCTTTCCTAACTACAATCCAGACACATACGCACACACAGAGTACTCATTACCACTGAACCCCTTCTTCCTTTCCACAATGCATCCTGCACACTAAAGCTTTTGCCTCCGTTTGGATGTCTGATCTTTGCTGGCCACTTCTGTAATTACATCAATATTATTCCTCTAAGCTTAGAAAGGAACAGCTATAACCTGTCTGTCCACAGGAGCACTACAATTTTCATCTAGAGGTGAATAAAAAGTGGTTTTTGTTATTCAGCCTGTTCAAGCAGTTATTTTTCCATTAAGGAACATCTGAAAGATTTCCCACCACAGGGGAAGAGAAGTAGAACTGATCAAGGGTGGGTTTCCATGGAAGCATTAAGTCTGACACTCAGGTAACCGCTGATACCACTTCTCAAGTGGTGCATTTCCCAGCACATCCAAACACGCCGGCAGGGACAGGTGATGGTGCAGCAGAGATCAGCTTGCAGCCATCAATCTGGTCCAGCCAACAAATAGATCCTTTGCCCCACATGAAGGAAAAAGAAAACATTGATCCTACCAAAATAACAAAAGCCATCTAACCAACACACCTTTAAAATGTGTAAGGACAGTTGATGCTTTGGGATTTCCGATTCCCTTAAAGACTCTTTCCTCCTGTTCTTTAAACAGATCTTCATGCTTTCCTAACATTGATTTCACTCAGGTCAAAACAACTGTCCTGCAGCTGCACTGAAATCTATGTTTGTTTCTCGTTCCACAGGGGAACAGGGAAGAGGTGGGGAAGTTTCTGGGGAAACTGGCAGGGAAAAACCTGTTCTGGAATAATATCATCACAATATTTCATTTGCTCATGACTGAAGCTGACTTTTTTTGGATAATGTTTTGAAATATTTGTCAACAAAACTCACCAAACCCATTTTACGAACGGCATTTCAATATGCAGCTGGATAAAAAACATTCTCTTGATGCAAAAATGAATTTGAACTTTTATTTATAAAAGAGGGCAAAGCGCTGAGTCAACTGGTAAAATTTTGAGACTCAAAACATTAGGGATGAGTTAACCAGGTCTAATTAGCACACCTAGATTTTTTACGCATTAAAGAAGAAAATATGACCACATAAAAAATCTCTTTGTGAAGGCTAACTGTTCCTGCCAAAAATCAAGCCATTGAAAGCTGTTGAGGGAGCATCTCCCCTGGGGTTTTGCAACCAACCACAGACAGTACTTTACACCCCTGGGGCAGGTTATGGAGAAGATAAGGGCAATGTTAATTTACAATGCTCTGGACTCCTATTGGCATCCCTTGTCTCACTTTGTTTGCCATGCATAATCTCTTGCTGGCTGAGTGTTGCCCATCGACTGCCCGTGCTGATTTTCTCCAGTCATGGGTTGTTACCACTGCTGCTGGACCTTTCAACTGCAGCTGGACCACCTTCCAGACATCTAGCTCTTACCTTTAGAGACACCTCCAGGCAGAGCAGTAACAAACTGCTCCCACTCTAGGCATTGATTTAAAAACAACAGATAAATTTTGCTTCCTTTTTTTCTGCCCAACACACAGGCCACCTCCCTGTGGAGGAAACAGACCTTACAGAAGGTTAGTGGCCCTTTCCACAATCGGTAGCGTGGCCAAATGGACCAGTAAAAGCTTTCAGCAGGCAATGAGAATGGTGTGATTCTTCAGAAAGGAGAAGAAACCTGTTCATTGCTTGGACAGCAATTCAAAATTGCATTTTCTTCCATCCCAGAAATACTTCACTCACTTAAATGCTGCTTCTTTTTAGTATAGAACTCGTGTCAGCTGCCAAAATGGGTACATATGAAACTACTGTAACTCTTGTAATGATCTGTTATATAGGATACACTAATTTGACTGGTACATAGTAAAATTACAGTGGGGTTTGCAGCTGGAAGGGACTGCAAGTGAGCAGTTTATCATTTAAATGTATTGGGAGTAATTCAATCACAGGAGGCTGTTACAACAATGCATCCAGGAATAATAAACAGCAACACAATGGCCTCTAACTAGAGGAAAACAGTTTCCAGCCCTTTCAGATGGAAAACAAAGAATAAAACAAATCACAAACAAACCCCCCTCCACACAGATAGCAAAGCTCAACAATGGAGTCAAGGGGAAACGGGATATCTGCATCAGGCTCAATGGCATCCTTTTTTCCCAGAGAAGTACCATTTTTTTTTTTACCCATTCCCTGCTACAGCAACTCTGGGTATGTGATTATAACACAGAGAAGCAGAGAAATGCTTTCTTCTGCTTACTGACTCCCTGGGAACCACATGGTCTGCAGTTTGATCACATTCTTCATTTGGGATTTTTACTTTTCTCCTGTCCTCACTCAGACCGTCAACACTCCCAAGCACCCAGAATGGGAGAGAAAGTCCTTCCTTTCAAAGTTTTTAGTTAAGCTCATGTAATCCTTTTGATACTACTCCTCTCTTATGCTCCCTACAGAAATGGAGCATCCCTCCAGAAATGGGTCAGGAAAGTCTTAATGTGTGGGGCTGCAGAGAGAGTTTAAAGAGACAAAGTGAGGAAAGAAATAATAAACAACCCCAACAGTATCCCCTACAAATCCAGCATCAGCAAGGAGGCAGAAACGACCATGTTCTGTATCACTTAAAGTTTGCAAAGGGTAATGAACTGACAACTGCTATATGTAAATGTATTTGCAGGCAGAGAATCCATAGCATCAAGATGTGTAATAACACTCTGCTTTCCACATGAAAGGGAGTCCCTCCTTAAACAGGAGTGTACCCCTACCATGAAACTGCTGGAAAAAGTAATCAGTCACAAATAATAGTCATAAAACCACTTTGATACTTAGCATTCCTCCATGGACAATATCATTATACATGGCTTAAATAAATCCCTCTAGCACACAGTTGCATCTTTATTATTTTCCTTAAAGGAAACTCAGGTAATCTATTTTTTCTTTTCCCTAAAACACATTTTTTTTGCATCTGCAAATTCAAGAGGCTGACTAGCTGAGGAAAGCCAAATTTAGAGTTGGTTGGGAAACTCCAATTGTGAAACCTTTCATTGTCTCAGAGATAGGTTTTCTCCTGGATCCATCATTTACTTTGGGGAAGATCTGCAAAAAGGTGGAGTGGGGGTGGAGATCAGCAGGTTAATGGCTGCTCACGTACCCTCCAGCTTTTCAGAACTTTACCAGAAAAATGGCATTTACATTGCAAAGACACCTGGTCTGCCGATGCAGATCCAGGAACTGTAACCCCAGACACCCAATTCAAGTGCAAACAAGCTAATTAACAGCCGCCTGCCAACTGCATCAGAAGTCACAGCAGTGACCTGGGTATGACTACTGAAATTGGACTTTTTCACCTCTGACTGATGAAGACTGCTTCATTAGTTAGGCGCTGATGTTAACGGTGACATTTTTCTATTCTGGATGAAGTCTGTTCCAGTGCCGACCGATGCCTTCAGCACCAACTGACCGAAGCTACAGTTACCCCAGAGACCTTCAGCAGGGAGTATTGGCCAACCATGGGAAGCATCTTCTCTACCCATGGGCAAAGCTACAGGGTGAGGGCTCCCTGCAGCCCCTGGGGTAAAAGTTGGGAGGGTTTGAAAAAGCAAGGGGAAAAAAGAAACATTCCCACTGTTTTCTGACTGATACAGATTGCAAGCGACAGTGCAAAATGGGTGTTTATGGGCACCATCAGGCCTGCGAGAAGGAAGAGGGGAGCCTGAACCAAATCTGACAGGCGCTCCAGTGAGAGGAAGATCCAGAAACTCTTCATCCTATATTGTAATTAGAGCCACACACACACAGGGTGTCTTCTGCAAAGCACCCTGCAAGCACTGCTATTTCAGTGACAGCGCCAGTGACAAAAGGAGTCAGCTCTTTCTAAAAGCATCAGAAAACCAAGGAAAGGATAATTTAGACCTTCAACTAAAAACTGCACCTTACTGCTGGCACTTGCAGGCTCTCCCCCATCTCCAGAGCAGCATCACTCAGATGATGCAGGAAGGAAAGCAAAACAGCTCTTGGAGGAAGGCTTTAAAGAGAAACTGTAACGTGGTTTAGGTCTGCCACGGGACTGGTGCTTTAGAACCGGGGGTTCAAGTGCTGCTGCTTCTCCAAACTACCAACATAAGTGTAGCATGATGGGCACGATGCCATCGAGCAGCTTCCTTAAAACAGTTTCCAGAGGTACACAGGGCTGAAGGTGCACTCTGTAGCCACGGCAAAATTCTTCAAGAGACATCTCTAATGACATATGGCACGGCAAGATCAGACTATAATTGCTAGGACTGTTCAACAGGCTGAGGAATTTTAAACACAGTGCTGGAGCTGGAGTGGTTTTTCAATGAAAGCAAAATGAATGAATGAATGGAATGACATTACAGGCAGTAAATAAGTTATTTAATTCTGGGCGGCAATGCCACATGCAGCCTTTAGAGAAGAGCAGAGGGATTTGCGGTTGTCTGTCTGTCCTACTCACCAGGTACCACTCCTTTGATGTCGCTTTCCGTGTTCATCCTGTTCTTGTGCGTGAACTGAAGGATCAGCTCCTTGGATGCCTCAAACTGTTGAGTAGCCATCAGCCACCGAAGAGACTCTGGGAAAATACTTTAAAGATGGAAAATGGGTTAGGGTCGCTTCCAAGTTTCTGTCAGAGGAAGAACCGATAGTGTTCAGCTGCTCATTTAACTGCTCATGGGCTACATACTTATTTACAAAAAGCAGAAGAATCACTTACATAACAATTAAGAGGGAAAAAAAGACTCTGAATGTGTGACTTATTGACTTTTTTTTTACACCGATTCACAAATGATACAGGAACTATCTTATCACCTAGAAATAGGACATATTAGAATTTTATAACGTATTAGAGGTGTTCTGCCTGTTAATGCAATTTTGAAAGAACTGGGAGAAGGAGGAAGCACTGTCTGCAATAGACATTTGCTGCCAAGCAGGGAATGAATGAGCTGTGCAGTTAACACATGGTAATTCAGACCAAAGAAGGAAAATAGCTGACAGAAGTGATTTGAATTCTCTTGTGAAGATGGAGAAAGGAAAGAGAATTACTTTTGAGGTTTATAATGGCATTTAATTTTTAAATATATCAAAAGTCTTCTCCCACATATTTTAAGCTCTTTTTTTTTTAATACAGGTCAGTATTGTGTATATTCCTGGCAACATTCAGCTGTTGCTCTAAAAGTTTCCTGTAGTAAAGACAATATTAAGTTAGTTGAGTCACAATATAAACATATACATACACACAGTCACAAAATAAAAACATTTATTTTCTATCTGGTTGTTTCCTTTAAGTGCTGATAGTCACCTAAGTCATTAGCTTAACTGATCAGTTTTCCTTTTTTTTTTTTTTTTCCAGATAAGTTTATATTCATACAAAACTAAAAGAAATATGTAGATCTTCAAGAAATGCCATACTCCATAGATATGAAAACTTTCATACCTGACTACAAGCATATTCTTCTTTCTTGTTTAGGCCTCATTTTCACTAATCTTCCATAAGACCTTTCTAAGAACAAATTTAACAAATATTTTTGACTTCAAATATATAATAAATGTCAAATTTCCTTCACAAAGCACTGATCTTTGCTGTGGATGCTGCCTCTGTTCTTTTACTTCGAAGCAGTGGATCAGGCAATTGCACCATTATGGTACTATCTTTTAAGGTTGATGCAATTTGGAAGACAGTTTAGCAAAACCTCCATTCTAGATAGAGAAAGTATTAATTTTTTTAAGAAAAAAGGAGAGAAGTCAGGCAGACTGCACGCCAAAGGGTATTAGGCAATAAAAGTATATAACAGCGGTGATGACAGCTATTCACTGTGACAGCTTATTTACTACCACTACATTGTGGTGCCACACAGATGCTTTGGCGTGACCTCCTGCAGAAAGTCCTGTACTGCAAATGCATGTTTTGAAAAAATCAAGAGTTCTTTGAATGCAAAATCCCCCTGTCCGAAATGGGGACAGGTTCAGCCACTAGCCTCAAAGCTGCACTTTTTGAAGAGTCCTCTTACAGGTCCCAAAGGAGAAGGGTCGTGGGGACCAGCCGCTCCCAGGGGAAGGAAGAGAGCTGAAGGGATGGCATCATGGGGACAAACGCCGTCTCTGCCTTCCAGCTCCTACAGGTTTCTCAAACTGGAAATGCCAATGCCTCACGTCTTGCAGCTGCTCTGCTACTCAGTGCGAGCACTGGGAGCTTCATTTAAGGATCTTTAAAAACCCCTGGGCTCCTTTGAGGCCAGGTTATCAGGCACAGCAAGGGGAAAGTGCTGGCTGCCCCATCGCCGTGCAAGTGCCTGAGGTCACTTGTGGAGCACAGACCCTGCTGCCAAGGGTTATTTGTACACACCTACTGTTGCACCTTCTGCTGCCAAACCAAGAACCAGCAAAAATTCAAAAGCCAAAAAAAAAAAAAGGCGCCAAACCCCTGGCCACTGTGGACTTCTGCACAGAAGTTTGGTCACAACCTCATGCTTCATCACCTGGCATTAAGTACTAATTGAATGAAGCCAAGACAGCTTTCTGCTGAGGGTGAGCAGTTGCCCAGATCACCAGGCTGAGCTGGCTGCAGACACCTGGTTAATAGTCTTCTACATCCTCCATCAGCAAGGAAAGGACCAGCCTTTTGCAGTCCAAGAAAACAACAGGGGGTGGGTAGGGGGAAACATTAATCCCCTGTTACACAGCTGCCACTTGGGAGAGGAAAGGGGGAAGAGTAGGAGGGACACTGGGAAAAATGATCCTAAGCCTGAGAAATCCTAAGAGCAGAAAAGAATCCTTGGCAGACAGACAGAAAAAGGCCAGGCAGGTACCATGTGTAGCTGGAAGGAGGACCGTGATCCTGTCCAGACGCAGAGCAAACCCGTGCCCATGGAAAGGGTGCAGTGTATCAATTAGGAGTCTGCCTCAGGGCAACAAGCCCACTTATTACAAAGTTTGGGTCTTGATGAGGGTAAACTACCTAACAGCACCGGAAAAGAACCGGTCACCCCTTCCCAGTTCTTCAGTTTTGGCTGGAGTGAAGCAGGAGTTTATTTCAGATTATTAGTACCTTTGCTGACCTTCAGGGCACAGTCATGTCAGGAGCTTCCTGCACCCAAGGGAGAGGAAATAATGCCTCTGTATCACTGGAGCTCCCCTTTCCTCACAGCTCTAATACACACAGACTTTGAAAGGAGCTTAACTTCTATTAAGTTATTATCATATGCTCGTCACCAACCCCTGTGCTCACCTCTGACTTGTGTGGGTGCCTCTGCCCTTTCAGAATGACCTGAGAGCTCAGCAAAGGCCTCTGCTCGATTTGCCCACTAGCCCATCCCTCCCAGAGAAATCTGCTGCTTCCTCCTTTCCCCCCCATCCATGCCCAGCTTCCCAACCCACTCAGCCACCCACCTTCTGGGGACAGTATAGCCTGCCATGTGCACAGGGCCAGGAGCAGAGCAAATCTATAGGTGGGAGAGGGCTAAGCTCCAGCCTGGAGGAGCAAACAGCTCTCTCACAGCAGGAGATGGAAATAAAGAGAGTGAGAAGGAAGGAAGAGGCAGTGCAGGGGCTATCACAGCATCTGTTATTGAACTCACTGCTTTGAGTACAACGATGGGGAATTAACAAGCAATGCAGCTTTCCAGTTCTGCTTTTATTACAAATAAGTCAGTTTTCTTCCTTCATCTGTAACATATGCTGAGAGTCCACGCTCTGTTCCCCAACACAATGTCGGGGGAAGAGAGGAGGAAAGGAAAGAGGTAATGAAATGGTAACGATTTCCAGAGAACATGCAACAGATGGAAGAGAAAAGCCTAGGAGAAAAGTGCATACTGTACCGACAGTATAATTAAACAGGCATCTTAACCAGAGTCCCTTTCTGCAAAGGCAAAAACCCTGGGCAACACAAATCCTGTTACTTTGGCTATTACCACTATTTACCGTGCATTATAAAAGGGCTATCTATTCATGTGGTCTACCTGTCCAGCCATAAGCCAACAAGCTCCTGCAGATTAGGAAATAAATGTTATCATTTCCTATTGCTTTCAATGGCACTCAGGGATGACATCTCAACAGGAATGTACAAGACCCTGACTCAGCCACCTGGAAAACATGCTTTCTCCAGAAGACTGCTGAGGGTTTACTGCTGCCCATGTCATCTTATCATGTTTGTTAGGTGTCTTCATATTATTGTACTGTCCTTTTGGACACAAATATCTCTAAACATTACGTTTTATATTGGGTTCTATCCAGTGGTGGATATAATGCTTTCCAGCTGGCGGGCATTCCAATAGGAGGTTTTGGAGCAGATCTGCACATGTTTGTGTGTGCATAACATATGGCAGGTTTGGGAGAAGGGTATTGTATATTAACAAGAACACTCTAGCTTATTCATCATCAAGATTAACACTGACAAGACAAGACTGTTTAGGTGTTTTATGTTGGAAAACAGGGGAAAACCAAAAAGTCATTATCTTGCAAAGGACTTGTAATTTTCCCCCGTATGCTGTGTTTTGCCCTCAGCCCAAGCTATGGCATGTTTACCTCTGTGAGCTTGGGGATAAGCAAAGAAACCCCCACTGAGGATTATGTGATGGACACAGGAGAACTCTGTAATGCCTTCATGCATTAATAGAAAAATATACAACTGTTAAAAATTCTTACATGCTATAACAAGTTTTTACATGTTGCAACTTGTCAGGCATTACAACCAGCAGCTTGGCCCCCCATAGCCAACCTCGTCCTGCATGGTGTGGTGGCCTTTTTCCTCAGTTTTTTTTTTTTTTTTTAAGTGCACAGCAACTAAATATTTCAGTCTTGTTAGTGTTGTCTTTAAAAGGAATGATCTAGTGTGTTCTCACTGTTACAGTTTTGTACAACCCTGCTCTCACAAGCCTCCGTTGTGTTATGCCGCCACTGCGTGTCACTATTAAGACAGAACAACAAAGAAAGATTATATTTTTTTTTTTAATTTATAGAGTCTTAGGAGAGATGGACCTGGCACCATCCCCAAGGCGAGAGCCACCCTAGTTCTCTCAGGATAGCTGTACCAATGCCACAGTGCCACCAGCACAGCAGGCAGAGAAGAGTGGGAGCAGCTGGGAGGGGAGGATGCCTTGCGGGAAAGACTGCCCGGTGCAGAACAGCCACCGAGGCTTCGGTGCAGCATGAGCTAATTACGGCAAATTAAGCAGGCAGTCTAGTTGAGGGCTCACTACCTCATGCACACAAGGCGTCCAAGTGCACTTGTTCACAAGCTGACACGTGTTATTTTTAACCTGGCTTGGCTAACCCAGGCCAAAGAAACCAACAGTGACAGCCCAGAACCATAATACAGGTTTTAAGGGAAAAACGTGGCTGTACTGCCACAATCTGACAATAGCTAGGCTGGGACACGTCCTCTTCAGAACTGTTTCCACCTTTAAAGGGGAAGTGACAACCAGAGTAATTGCAAAGTACAACTTGCTGCTCAGCAAAAGGGGACCAACTTCTGAGTTCACACCATGTGGCAGCCTGTAACCTGTGTGCATGCTTACAACGAACTATAAAGTTATCATTTCTTATTTCAAAGTCCAATCTTCATGACAAAAGACAAATGGAAGAACAAAGGGAAAGGTGCGTATGTATTTTGAAGCCCACACACTTCCTAAGAGTGAAGCACCTTCCAAGTCCAACATCAGGAGCTCATGTGGTCTTTGACACGACAGGAGGAAGAAATACTTACAGCCAGTAAAGCAGCATCAGCAGGAAAGGACAGATGATGACTGCCTGGAGGACCTGCCAGTCCCTGCAGAGGGCAGCCAGCCCTGGCATGAGGAACTGCCCTGCCATCTCGATGAAGCTCGCCACCATGGTGATCATGAACCGGTGCCCAGGAGGACAGAGCTCTATCCCTGAAACACAGAGCACATGCGAACACATTAGCCCCTCCATCAGCAAAGGCACCCCCAGAGCATCTCTTTATGAAACTTTCAGAGAGCTGATGTCCTTAAAAACCTTTGGCCAAAGTTAGGCGTGATTGCATAAATTTTGTTTCCTTGTGAATTTAGGCTTCAAACACTCCAGCAGCAATAGAGAAGCTCATTAACAGGGCTGTGAGGTGGACATTGCAAATTCCATACACCTATTGCACCTCCTGCAGTTCTGCTGTATTCTCACTGTCAGCTTTCCCTCAGTCTCTGCCTAAAGAAGCATTTTACCAAATTATAAGCTATCAGTTTTTTAAAAGGAAGGTAGGGTAAATCACAACCCAAAGATGTTGAGTTAAGCCTTTTCACAGTTCTCAGAGACACCGCCTGCCTTCCCAATCAGCTTGCCGGGAGGCAGAAGAGTACAGCTCTCAGCAGGATGCAGGCTCCCAGCTCATACAGGATGCCACCTGCCCACAGTTTAATATGCTACGACTCAGCCAGTTTCAAGCTGGATTTCGCTGAGTGGGTTGTTTCTGAGTTTGCTTTTTGTTTTTGCAATAGCTAATCTTGATCAACTTTCAAACGAGCCAGCCTTCCATCTGTCTTATCCTGTTCTCCATCCTTCCTTCTGCTGTGGGGCAATTTACTACCATCACTAGTATCGTCGGTTGTCTCAGTTGCCCTGTGACAAGTGGGTTCAGTAGATGAAAAATTTTCTTAAACCTTGAATTGTGGCTAACTTTATTCAGTCCTCAGAAATTAAGATGAATTTATCAGAATCACAGATTTTTTTAAAAAAAAACATGAAAAACACAACATAAGAAAAAAATCACAGAAGTGATAGAAAAAACAGACTGCCTTGTGGAAATATATTCAAGCAATTTTTTCACTGATGAGACTGCAATAGAAGCCTCTATTTCATATTTCCCATTTGCCCACATTCAGTTCTACAGATTAATAATTAAGCACCATAAACCTGCCACAAATGTTGTGTAGTACTTTGTGGCATGCTGATACAGAAACGTAGGCTCGTAAACATTCATGATATATTGCTGTCAGCGTTGTTGCTTTTCCTTGGGATGTTTCCTATAGTTGCTTTAAATTAGAATTTAAGGGTTGTTAAAATTGTAATTGAAAAGCTATAAGATAATAGGAAGAGATGACAGCTGCTCCTTCATTCACTCTCTCATCTGTAACTTGTTCAGCATTTATCACCATAACAGAGATTTTACACTAGCTGACCAGGAACTAGCTTGTAGATCAAATGTAGGATTAAATACCACACATTTTTCTCCCCCCTTTTTTTTTAGCCAACGACAAAAACTATTGATGGCTTTTTGCTAATACAGAAGGAAAATGTAGCTGCTGCAAGGCAGCCCAAATTTTCATTAGCCTAACCGCAAACCGCAGCTTTGGAAAGGGAAGGGGGAAAAACCCCCTCAAAGACTCTCACTTGCTATAAAAGGCTTTTACATTTTAATTAGGAAAACAAGATTAAAACACAGAGCTCCTTATGACATTAATATGGTTTCATTCTTACTAATGAAGTATCCCAAGCCTAGGCGATTTTTTTATTCTATGCAAAGAGGTCACCTCTGTATTACTTCTCTAATCTTCAAATATAAAGTGATTCTGTTTGGTTTTCTAAACCTTAAAATCAGTTACTCACACTCCAATATTCCTTCATTAAGTACAATGATGAGTTTTGTTGCTATAGAAACAGGAAGTCTGCATTAGGTAGGTAAGGCTTTGGCATTTCAATTGTGTTGCTTAAGTTAGTATCAGTTAAAAAACAATTAACCAAGAGAACAACTTTTCTATGAAGTCAGAAAGAGGTGTCCAGATAGTAAAATTATATTTTAAGTCACTGGTGCATAGTACATAAGTCCATATGCAGCAGTTATTTGCTGTACAGAAAGGAAATAACTTTAGAGATTGTTTAGCACGTATTTTCTTCTCTAAATTGTCACATGCATACGATCAATTTTTGCCCTTTCCTCTAAAAAACGTTAGAGAAGACAAAAAAAATAATCCCTGCTACAGCTGGGTGAGTCTGACTTTCAAGTGACATCAGCAGGCGCTCCATGTGTATGAAATATCACATCTCTGTTGAAACGTTCAACATATTAAGGCAGCCTACTGACTTTCCAACATCTCTGGCATCAATTTTGTATGATAAAAGATTCAGCACTGCAGTTTTTTAGCACGCATTTAGCAGTCAACCTTTTTCCACTCCTGCCAGCAAAGCCACCCCCTGCAGCACCTCTGCCCCAGCACCAGGAAAGGTGCCCTGATGATGCTCACACCGGTGCACCCAGGCACAAGGCCTCTACGGCTGCAACAATTTCCACCCAGGTTGCATGACAAATTACCAACTCACATGAAATCACTACAAGGCACGAAGCAGCTTTATCCACCCGTGACAAATCCAGCAAGAAGGCTCCAGCTCCCCCACTCAGTGAAAAGGTTTCCACCTCAGTTTCCTTGTGGAGCACGGAGAGTCGCGTAAACTCTTGTTATACACACAAATCATGGAAATTACCATCAGTGCCAAAAACTCCCAGATGCAAGTGCATCTGTGGTTTTGCCAGAAAGAAGTTGTGTATAAACATCAGGGAATTAATTCACTACAGTTATACGGTACTTGAAGCGGCGCATGCCATTTATGTCATCTCATCTGGAAATAGGTGTGCCTGGAAGAATGCAGGGGGCAGAGCAGAAAGACTTCTGGAGTTAGGCTCTAGGTGGATGAAGTACGGCACATCTCAGACCTGCACATGTCTTTGGAGTGTCTGCAAAGAGGTTCTGAAAGTTTTTGTTTTTTAAATGGTTTTTGGAAACCTAGAAATAGCTTGCAAAAGACGACAGGGCTCTAGATTATCCCACACCAAAATCAATTGTCCCTGACAGCTGACCAAAAAGACTGGGATTTACTGAAAAGGACAGGACCCCATCACATATCTCTGCGTGGTGGCAAAGTTTAAGAAGATCCTAACACCGCTGACAGCTCAGATGTGATGGGGGGGCCGTTAGAGCACCTGCTCCCAGCAGGACTGGGGCACTCTTCCCACCAGGACACCACACAAGCTGTCTGAGACACACAGATGGCCCAGGAGGGCTCATGGTTCAGCCCTGCCCACCACACGACTGCCAGCACTCCGACTCGTTGGGATGTGGGCAAGGAGGGAGCTAACAAAGAGCCTCTGCAACACCATGGGAGCTCAGCCCCATCATGTGCAGAGCTGCTCCCTCGTGCAGGAGGTCGCTGCCCCTGGGCATCAGCAGATGATGCATGATAAACCCACAGGTCAGACAGCAGGTTACCCACAGCAAATGCAACCGGCACTGGTGACAAGGGGCACATCAATTTTAGATCGGAAAGGGAAAGTAGCCTTTGCTAAGAGCTTCTCCTCTCCCTGGCTCTGGGATGGAAAAACCCCTGGGCTGATATCCTTGACAACAATTTTTCAGGCAACTTCTTCTGAAAAGGAGACAGGAAACCAAGTTAAAATTCTCCAAGTATGCTGTGGCCTGGCATCTGCAATGCTGTCCTCTCCCCTTTCCAGCCAGCTCCTCTCTCCCACCCTCTCCGCCTGCAGCTGTGGAAGGAGATGGACATCTGGAGGAGACTGACATACAGACAGGAGGCTGGAGAGAACTACAGTGACATCAGGTTAACATCAGCTCACATTGCCACAAAGCATGACCCTGCGTAGCCCACCTCCTCCAAACCCCACCAGGGGAGCTGTCATCGCCATGAAGGGACGAAAGGCCACATCTCATCGGCCTTACACTTGCCCACTAATAACAAATCGTTTGTTTCAGATTTCAGAAACCCTCTTGTTTGTCTTCAAAGGCTGACATTTATTCTCATAGGATATTTGCACAAGGATGAATAGCAAATACTTTTATTCAAAGGAAAAAAAAAAGTTGTAAGTCATTTGCAAATAATATATCAAGAGGAAAAATAGGTTAAATCACACTGCTTGAGCAACTTTACAGCATTCACTCACCAATCTCCAGTCCCAAAACACAAAGCAATTCTTGCACTGCAGCCCAAGTGCTAGCTCTGTCAGAAACCTCAAGCTAACTGCTTTTTGTGCCTTTGCAGTTTTCTCTCCCTGCCCAGTTTCAGCCTATGAGCCACCAAGACTGTAATTATACAGGAGTATCCCTTGGAGAAAATGGCCAGGATAAATCACCTGAAGTCTGGGCAACAGCATTCTCACTGAAAAAGATCCCTGAGGAGACAGTCTGATTCTAAATTCACATTCACAGTTTCGTATCATTTAAAAAAAAAAAAAAAAAAAAAAAAAAAAAACAATGAAGAAGACCCGCAGAAAGAGCGTCCTTCTTCGTAATCAGACTCTCAAGGAATGAA